TATATTAAATAGCATATTCATTTTTCAAATCTAAACCATAGTTTTCTCCACGCAAAATTCTCTTCATAAGATTTGAATGAATATTTTTAGCATATTAATTAGTACAAGCGAAGGACAACGTCCGTCTAGAGAATATATAGTTCATTGATAAACTTTTAATAAATATTTTCTATAAAGAAACTTCGAATCTATACTTTATTAATAGGAAATTAATCGTCAGTTTTCACTTTTTTAGTCATATTTTAAAAAATATTCTTTACAATCTATAGGAATTAAAAAAAAACCTATTTACATGCCCATTATGTGTTGAATCATATCTATAATGGGGCGTTAGATTAGTGGGTTATGGACCCGTGGGCGTCCAAAGAAAGGGCTAACGGAGGCACTTGCTCTCCTATGGGATTGAGTAAAAAATTCCACAAATTATAATCGTAAAAGTGATAAGCCCTAGCACATTACTTCAGACTGGTATTCGAACCCGAATCCTTCTGCATTCGGGGATCTTGCTGCTCTTTTAGTTAAATTTGTAAATGATATTGACTATAAATTACAAAATTATATATATATATATTTTTTTTGATTTAAAATATTCACGAATATACTTTAAAAAAGATTAAATCAATCTACGTACTTGTCAAAAATTAAAGCAGATAATTTAATAATATTTTAAGTGGATTAACTAAGATTATATTCAATGTTTCAAAGACGCTTTTAAAGCTTTAAAAATTCACAAGAGGTGAATTAAATTAAAGGCGTCGTTAACAAAGACTGTCAAACTGACTGAACGTAAACATTTAAATATTTATATATAATACTATAATCAAACAAACAGACACACGCACGCACACGTATATATTTATATTAAATGAAAGCTCTGTTATAAACTATATAAACATATAACTATTAATATAAATATAACTTTTTATTTATTTTAAATTCAAACAATTTGGCTGCAGTTTTCAAATTGCTACCCAATTATCGTCCGTCTGTCTGTCTGTTCGTCCTTCCCATTTTAACAGAAGGTTGTTTGTGTTTGTATGTACAGTACAGTATATAAATAATACAATCACATTCATTCAGTCCTATAGAATAATTAAAATTGGCTCCTATAGGCTTTGTATATGTCTAGGTAGATGAATCAATATTTATATATAAACTTTAAATAATAAAAGTTTATAATTTATTTTATTAAATTTCATTATATAACGCGTGAATAATTAATTACGAATAAAATATAAAATAAAATAATATTCTTGTTTAAAATAAATAAATAAAATATATAGAAAATAAATTAATTTTAATAACAGTAACTCTTCGCTTTTCATGAGCATCATTTTTTCTATTTTTAAATCCCATTCTTCTCTTAATAATTGATTAAAAAGTAATTTTTTTTTATTATAGAATAGAGATTATAATTAGATTTTTCAACAATATACTAAAGATATTCTTAGTTGAAGGATTAATTTAATTTTTATTTATTTATTTCTTTTCATACATGGATAACACCATTCTCTAAAATTGCATCTCTATAGAAGAATTCTTTGTTATAAGGCATGTTTTTTTTTTTCTTTTTTATAATCTTAATCAGCTTACAAATAGCGTTATATCCAATTCTCCTTTTATCTTCTTTACTCTGTTATCAGCTAAATAAGAGATTATTTTTGACAATACTTTTAAATTCGATTCCATTTTTTTATTATCTATATAATAGTTTATATACCTAAAATGCAGTTATATAGTATTTTTGACAATATTTTTAAATTATATTCCATTTTTATTATATAATTGCACCATTCTGGAGTCGCTTTTCAGGGGATGGGAATTGGAATTGGGTTATAAAAGCTATATAAAAAATATACATTTATTAACTGGAGTAAGTTCGGGTTTAAGTTAAGAAGGATAGATTTTAGGGGTAGTTTAGGAACCAAAGTGTTTGTTTCTAGTGTAGAAGAACGTGTTGAAATGTTGAATGATATTGAAACCTTTATCCTTTTATATATAGAGAAACAGAAGGGAGAACTGAACACTTGCCCCATAGTAGTTTAGTATAACATAATAGTGTCTACTGTACTATACTATATACCTATAATACAGTTATATATGTATAATATAGATATTTATAGACTAGGAATTTAGATAATATTTTAAAATTTTTTCTATTAAAATAATATAATAATTTGTGTACAATTATATAAGTATATTAAAATATAGGAAGTTTTTTTTAAATATATTTAATTTATATCATTGAATCTGTTGATATATAAAGAAGAATATCAATTCATGAATTAAGTATAAGGAATGCAATTTATTTTCCTTACTTAATATTGATTAAACACTATCATTACGTGACTAAATTGCTTCCTATTCTTAAACGAATCTAAATTTATTCTATTTATTTTCGCTTATCAATATTTATTATAGAAGCTCATTTATCTACAAATTTCAATTATAAATGAGTTTAAAATAATTTAATATAAAATAAATATAAAACGAATTTATATATTTATTAGTATTACCCGACTAATTTTACAGGCAGTTTTCCAGGTATTCAACCTGCTGTATTCGACTATCTGACAGGTCTTCTCTCAGCATCCCATTTTCTCTTACTCTGTAACCATGGAAACGAGAAGAAGGTTGAGTGGTAATTCTAATAAATATTAGTATAAATATTAGTACAAAGCTATCAGAAATTTAACGAATCTGCAGTTCATGGTTGACAATCAAAATCTATAATGGGGAGAAAAAAAAGAGAGAGAGAGAGAGAGATTGAAAGTGAAATTTATCATTTCATTAAAATGTGTTTAATATATCATTAATCCAATTTAATGAAATAGCTGAATCAATAGAGATTATTGAATAAAGTATAACCATATTAGACATTCTACTCTATCATGTAAAAGTTTACAGAAAATAATCAATGTTAGAAAATGTTTTATAATTAATTTTCATAAATTAATTAACGAACAGTTGCCAATTTTTTCAAGTATTTCACTAATTACTCCATAATTTTTTTTTCATTGTTAAATATATAATAATCGTCTACTAGATTTTATACAATTAAGTTAAAAATACAATTATTTTATTCAGACTTATGAATGAAAATATACTAAATCGATAGGAAGTGTCCGGATATTTCATCTAAAAATCCTTCATTTATGTAGAGGCATTAAATTATAAATTAATTTTTTAATTATTAATTCATAATTCTAGAATTTATTTAAAAAAAACACACACACACAAAATTCAATAAAATACGGAAGATTTCGACGTATTTAAATAAATCTACAATAAAGAATTACCTTTTTTTTTATTAAGTACGTAAAACCCGAATTAAAATTACTCTTCACTTAAACGATAGGGAGTAATAATTAATTGGCGTATAACTAAATTATTTCGTTAATTATAATTAAATTTCGATAGTAAACGATTAATCGATTAATAGATGAATGGAAATAATCTTTAACTATAGCCGTGACATGTGGATTTTATGCCATATGTGATTTTTTTCGTTTTTTTTTCTTCTTTAAGTGCAACTATACTACATACACGCCCATAGTATACATTGATAGAACTGGTATTAAAGTTTTACAGGAAGATTTTATAGTATAATACTCACCTGTTTAGTTGTCAATAGAAGATTTAGCTCTTGTAGAAAGAATTAGAGACATTAGATTTGAGGAATTGCGCCAAGTGATGGTGTTGAGTAACAGAATCAGAGATACCTGCCCAACCGATTCGATAAGATGGTTGATTCCTAGCCACTGGGTTCGATCGATGGTCCTGTCCTCTCTCACCAATTCTAACCCGACTTTGAATATATCGTTATTCTATAGTTAATAAAACCAATCACTCACACATTCATTTCATTTTATTAATTCTTTATAAAATATATCCATCAATTTCTCTATGATAAATACGTCTAAAATGTAACCATCTTCTAATTACTTTAAGCTTATATTAAACTCTTTATATAATAGAAAAATATATAATATATAGTTTAATTCGTTTTTATTTAAAAAAAANATGAACTTTATTTAGGTCAATAATTCGAAAGTGAGAGTGCAATTATTTAAATTTAAAATATATTTTTTAAAAAAAATTATGTTAAACATCACGCTTTTATATAGCTTGATGATTAATGAAACTTGAACACAATGGTCCCTCTTATTTAAAACAATACACCTTACTGTATGATATAATACATTTTATAAAATCATATATATATATTTTTTTTACTTATAAACTACTGTTATTATCGAGAAAAATTAATGGAACATACAAATTTAGGGTGTAATAATACGTTTGAAATATTAGTGGTAAAATATGATGCACTTTAAAAATCGATTTCGTCTGTTAAAAAAGCAGAAAAGTATTCGCTTCCATAGTGAAATCGTTCTTCTATACCTTAAAAATCGATTTTTCACGCAAAAAAACACAAAAGAGTACTTGTCTTATGTGCTTTTTTTTCGTAAAAAAATCACTTTTGTGTATTGTAAATATCGATTTTGCACGTGATAAACACAGAAGAGTATTATCTCTTCTGTGTTTTCGTGTATAGAATCATTCTCCTATATTTTAAAAATCAATAAATAAATAAATAAACCACACAGAAGAATGTTTTTCCAATGAAAATGCATTATATTTTATATTTTTAAATATCGATTTTACACGCGAAAAAAACAATAGAATAAATAGACTCTTCTGTTCTTTTCTCCTATAATTTCTGAATAAATTCATATTTAATATATTCTAGTTTAATCTTTTGAAATCTTTTACAACACGCGAATCATCAACCACAATAGAAAAAATAAATAAATAAGCTTAAAACAAATACAACAATCGTCACAATTGTATAATTCGAAATTTAAAATATATTAGAAAAAATTGAATTGGACCAATCACATAATTTAACCACGCCCACTTTATGAGATCTTAAGTCACGCCTTATATATTATATAGAATTTCGACCAATAGAATATGAGTAAAGTTACTATACTTACCAGGAACAACTACAACAACAACACCAGCACAGACAACACGTCTTTTGCAATCGATGATAACGTTGCGAGCTCATTCCTTCTTTATCTTGAATTTTCTTATTGGTTTCGGAGCGTGGCTCCGTTAAGTTCGTATCGTCACCAGCCACTTGTAGTGCTGATGTTGTCGCATCCGCTACATTGTCTGTCTGTCTTCTGCCACCGGAAGGGACAGAGGAAGTAGTGCCAGCTGCTGATAGTAAATTGAGTGAGGGCGCTGCTTTGTCTGTTGAGCATTGTTGGTTGGACATCTGAAATTTTCCACAATTTTCCACATAAAAATTTCATCACTTTTTTATTTATTTATTTTATTAATAATTCTTACGTATACAGTGTAATATAATAGATAAATAACAGATAAGTAATATTTTAGGGTGGTCCAAAAGTAAGTTTACCGAATAAATTAATACCTTTCTTAAAAATTTAAATAATTTAGTGCATTTTTTAAATATATATATTACGTTTCATATTCGCATGGTTAACTGACTTTTGGGCCACGCTATATAATAAAATATATTATGTATTTAAATATATATATATATTAT